TTGAACCACCAGCCTTCTGGTTAGCAGTCAAATGCCTTAGGCACTATGCCACCAGAGATCCCTTCAATAACCTTATCAATGTGGAATTATGAGCTCCCCTTCACAAATGAGGGGTGGAAGGAAGCTGAGAAAGATCAAGTAGCAAATTCACAGTCAGAAAACCTGTAATTGGTGAAGGCTGTATTCAAACTAATGTTTCTTTTACCCCAAACTCATCCTGTGGTTATGATATCATGGTGCCTCTCAAGGTAGTCAACTTCTCTAGGCTGTGGTCTGCTTGTGTGTTAAATGAGGGGCTTTAGATACTTTAAGGTCCAAAATCTTTTCTGACTCTAACAACCTAAAAAGAACTGAACACAGATTAACAACATCAGGCAGCAAGTCAGATGAGGAATTTTATTTATCATCTGGTCTTCATTTCACCTTCTTTCTGTAACAGTTCAAAGGAATACATGTTTGGGTTAGAGACCCTGGGTTTGTAGAGGACAGAGATGTAAGACTGTTGTTTGGTGTCATCAAGTTGATTACAACTCATAGGGACCCCGTGTACAATAGAATGAAACACTGCCCTGTCTTGCGCCATCCTCACAATCTTCATTATGCTTGAGCCATCGTTGCAGCCACTGTGTCAATCCATCTCATTGAGGGTCTCCCCCTTTTCACTGACCCTCAACTTAAACGAGCATGATATCCTTCTCCAGGGACTAATTCCTTCTGACAACATGACCAAAATAGGTGAGAAGTCTGGCAATTCTTGCTTCTAAAAAACATTCTGGGGAGTAGGAGCCTTGTAAACAAGATCTGCTGGTACAGTGGTTAAAGTACTAGACTGCTAACCAAAAGGTCAGCAGTCTGAACCCATTGATGGTCACTAGAGAACAAAATCAGGTCCCTTCTGACAATATGACCAAAGAAGGTGAGACAAAGTCCGGCCATTCTTATTTCCAGGGAGCATTCTGGCTATACTTCCAGGATATGTTTGTTTGTGATTCTGGCAGTCCATGGCATTTTCAGTATTCTTCACCAAGACCACTATTCTTAGGCATCACCTCTTCTTCGGTCTTCCTATTCATTGTCCAGCTTTCATATGCATGTGAGGTAAGTGAAAATACCATGGCTTGGCTTAGGTGCACTTTAGTCTTCAAAGTGACATCTTTGTTTCTTCACACTTCAAAGAGGTCTTTTCACTTCAAAGAGGTCTTTTGCAGCAGAATTTGCCCAGTGCAATATGATGTCTGATTTCTTGACTGCTGCTTCCATGGATGTTGATTGTTGACCCAAATAAAATGAAATTTTTGACTACTTCAACCTTTTCTCCATTTATCATGATGTTGCTTATTAGTCCAGTTGTGAGGATTTTTGTTGTCTCTATTTTGAAGTGTACTCCATACTGAAGACTGAAGTTTTTGATCTTCATCAGGAAGTGCTTCAAGTCATCTTCACTTTCAGCAAGCAAGATTGTATCACCTGCATATTCCAAGTGGTTAATGAGTCTTCCTCCAATCCTGATGCCACATTCTTCTTCATATAGTCCAGCTTTTCAGATTATTTGCTCACCATACTGATTGAATAAGTATGGTGAAAGGATAAAACCCTGATGCACACCCTTCATGATCTTAAACCACGCAGTATTCTTTTGTTCGGTTCAAACAACAGCCTCTTGGTTTATGTACAGGTTCCTCATGAGCACAATTAAGTGGTCTGGAATTTCTATGTTCCCAATGTTATGCATAATTTGTTATGATCCACACAGGTGAATACCTTTGCATAGTAAATAAAACACAGGTAAACATCTTTCTGATATTCTTTGCTTTCAGCCAAGATCCAGTTGACATCAGCACTGGTATTCCTCATTCTATGTTCTCTTCTGAATCCAGCTTGCATTTCTAGAAGTTCCGTGTCAATATACTGCTGCAACTATTTTTGAATTATCTTCAGCAAAATTTTACTTGCACATGACATTAATGATATTGTCCAATAATTTTCACCTTCTGTTGGATCACCTTTCTTTGGAATGGGCACAAATATGGATCTCTTCCAATCCATTTATCTGGCAGCTGTCTTCCAAATTTCCTGGCATAGAGAAGTAAGCACCTCCCAGAGCTGCATCTGTTTGTTGAAACATCTCAATAGGAATACTTATTGAGTATTCCTGGAGCCTTGTTTTCCACCAATTCTTTCAGTGCAGCTTGGACTTCTTCCTTCATTACTATTGGTTCTTGATCATATGCTACTTAATGACATGATTGAACACTGATTAATTCTTTTTGGTACAGTGACTTTGTGTACTCTTTCCATCTTCTTTTGATGCTCCTGCATCATTCAATACTTTGCTCATAGATTCCTTTGATATTTTAATTCAAGACTTGAATTTTTTCTTCAGTTCTTTCAGCTGGAGAAATGCTGAGCCTGTTCTTCCCTTTTGGTTTTCTAATTTCAGATCTTTGCACATTCCATTATAATACTTTACTTTGTCTTCTCCAACCACCCTTTGAAATCTTCTGTTCAGCTCTTTTATTTCAACCAACATTCCTTCCTTTCACTTTAGGTAGTCTATATTCAAGAGCAAGTTTCACAGGCTCTTCTGACATCCATTTTGGTATTCCCATCCAAAGGGAAGAAACAGCTGCAAACGTAGAATGCACAAAGTACTAATCTATGAAAATTGGAAGTTGTCAAAAATAAAATGGAACACATAAAGGTTGGTATCCTAGGCATTAGTAAACTGAAATGGACTGGTATTGGCCATTTTGAATCAGACAATCATATGGTTTACTATGCTGCAAATGACAAATTGAAGAAGAATGGCATTGCATTCATTCTCAAAAAAAAAAAAATTCAGGATCTATCCTGAAGTACAATGCTGTTAGGGATAGGATAATATCCATATGTCTACAAGGAAGACCAGTTAATATGGATTATGCCAATTTATGCACCAACCACCAAAGCAAAAAGATAAAGAAATTGAAGATTTTTACCAAATTCTGGCAGTCTGAAATTGACCAAACATGCAATCGAGATGTATTAATTATTGCTGGTCATTGGAACATGAGAGTTGGAAACAAAGAAGAAGAATTAGTAGTTGCAAAATATGGTCTTAGTGATATAAATGATGCTGAGAATCACATGACAGAATTTTGCAAGACAAACAACTTATTCGTTCCAAATACCATTTTTCAATAACATAAATGGTGTGGTAGTTATGTTTGTGTGTCAACTTGGCTGGGCCTGGTTGAGTGGCTGAACAGCTGGTGGTAGTTATTCCCCATGATGAGACTGGTAATCAACTCCATGGTGGGATCTACCACAAGCAGCTGAGTAGGTGCCTTCAGGATATGGGCTGCTTCCTGTATATAAGGAGAAGCTTTGAGAATGGTCTCTAGCCTATGGCACACTTGGACCCTGCATGTAGCCGTGTCATTGCTCAGCAGCCTGCTATGCTCTGCCGACCTTGGGACTTACAATGGACTTAAGTTAATGGCCTGCTGTGTGGTTTGGTAGCATTGGGACTGTGCCTTTTTACTTGTCAACCTCGGGGCTTCTCAGCCTCAGCAGCCAGCAGCTGTCTGAATGAAGAAATGCCTCTAGTTCCAGTGGGCTGGGAGCAAGAGGCAGAGCTGGATCCCAAGGTTGAGGGGCTTTCACCCAGCCCCTAGAGCCTGGCACTTTGAACTTGGACTTAAAGCCTCCAAACTGTAAGAAGAAACTCCTGTTTGTTTAAGCCATCCCATTTGTGGTATATTCTTGTCAGAGTGGTACAAGGTAACCAGAACAGAATTTGGTACCAAGAGAGTGGAGTGCTGCTCTGACAGATACCTAAAATGTGGAAACAGGAGTGGAGTGCGTCCTTGACCCGAGACCCTGGCAGAGAGACCCTGGCATACTGCATGACAGATGGCAGGAGTAGAGGAAGAGACCGGCATGAGAGATGGCAGGATCAGAGCCAAGAGAACTGACATGAGACAGCGACAGCCTAACCAGCCCACAGAGGAGAAAGCTTGATGCCTTTGGTTAGGCAGCTTACTGGCGAGTGGGTTGCCCTTGGGCATTAATTGGTAGAAAAGATTGGCATGAAATGGAGTAGCAGGTTGGCTGGCCTACGGAGCAAAAAAGCTGAGTGCTTTTGGGGCAGGGTTTTTCAATGGAGTGGG